CGATAAACAAGGATGTGCAAAAAAGATCAACTATGCCCCTATATTCAGAAGTACAATTGTACTGTACTGTTCTAACAGATGTTCACTGAAACAGTTCCCCGACAATAATGAGCTCTCGCCGACTGGTCTACTGCGCATCCAATTCTCAGAGGCCAAACTAGAATGGTCAAGCTTGCGAATCTATATCTTGTTTCAGAGCGAATTTGACCTTTGAATCAAGTAAATAGAGAGTTGAAGTGTTGTCATGAACGTTAACGTAAACGTAGAAATTGACAGCTACGCATGCGCATTTTCCAATTCTTCACGTTTGCGTTGTTAGTGGGCTTACGGGTGTACGTTATCTCACGTTCCTTCACGTATACCTTAAATGCCAACGTACGTCAACCAAACTATACTCAAAATGTGCCGATGAGTCAAAATTATCAAATTCGAGATCACCAACGACTTCTGCATCAAGGAGTCCTCTAATTTTGACAGGAATATATATGTTCGAATCTAAACACACAACCAAAAATGACCAATACAAACCGAAAACAAAATGTATTATTACGTTATGATGACAGTGACGACCAAAGTGGCGACTTCAACTCAATTTAACGACAATACGTAAACGTTATTTTTCGTACGTTAACGTATACGTGGAGTGATTACTTCAACTCTCTAATATGTCTTGCATGAACTCTGATCAAGATCTGATCAAGAAATCGTTTTTATCTGTGTACCGTTTCCGAGATCCTCATGCATACTCGAATCTCACTCACCCGGTATATTTTGTGAGGGGAAACACCATGACGAGTCGCCACTGTGAATACGGCCCACATCAGTAATATTATGAAGTATTGGACATGGGAGATTATAGTTATTAAATGATCTTAGTTTTTAATAACCGTTTATTTATTTCAACAGAAGCGCGTACCTTTTACGTCAATTAATGAGAGAATTACATTTATCAGTTTTATGGGATTTCTAATAGACGTTCCCAAGAAAAACAAAACGATTTTAACATATTATGACAGTGCCGTATACAAAATAATATATACAAATATAATATTTACTTTATTCGAGATATATAAAATCATACAGTTATAATAACTCACAGAAAACAACTTTCCTGGCTAATTTCACAGAATAATGGGCTATATCTGTCATGTGTCAAATAATGATATACATTGAAAACGTTCCACCCAAGTTTTCCCCATTTTTTGAACGATGGAAACTTGTTTTTTTTATCAATATCTCAATTATTGAAGATTCGTGATTAGGTTTTTTCTCAATTCAGAATTTCTGTCCACGTCCTGTATGATGAATATATATTTGTCATACATCCGAAAACAAAAACAACCAGATGACAGGGATTGAATGTCAACAAATAATTCTCAGATGTAAGTTCGTTATAGTTATATTAAAGAGAGATGAAAATTGGGTATATAATGAAAAATGCCTGAAAAAATAACTGGACTCCAGGTAACTGAGGAAGGTTTGATATCCGAAATGAGTTACATTCGAATAAAGTCATATAACCTGCAAGGGAGAGATATAATTCCCGTATCACTGATACGAATGATATTTCTGGAAGTTTCAAGCTCATCAAGATCAGAGTTTATACAAGTATTTTTCTCCTATACATTTCAATTTCCATTTCAATACTAAACATATTGGTAAGTTATAACATCATATTATTTATCCGATTTGAGAGAAAATGACAATTCTCAATTTCAGAGGATTTTTATTTTTCATAATCTCCTTTGGATGTTCAACCGATATAATTCTGTGTGCGACGTGGCAAATAGCCAGGACAGTAGTTATTTTCTGTTGAATAAACCAAGAAAGAACTGATATTTTCATCACATAGAGAATACGAATTCTCAATGTATTTCTTTATATATATCAATTTTTTCATGGTCATTATTTATCTGAGAATATTCTTCTTCGTCTTCGTTCTACGTTTTTTATTACTCTGAAAGAGTCTAGGCCAACTACAAAAACATTTTTTTCAAATATCCGAGGTTATAAGAGGCCATATGCCACTCGAAATTATTCGAATGTTATCAGTTTTCTGTCTTATCCCTTCCCCGTCGAAAGGGGCGGGATCAACCTGAAGAATTCGTGGAAAGCTGGACTCGTATGTTCATCGAGCGGCACGTCGAGGACACCGAACATTAAGTAGCGCGACACCATCTTGATTACTTTTTGCCGCTCACTGGCAACCTCGAAGACAGTCAAATGATCTCATAATTACTAATATCTTGAACTTTTGTCAGTACCTATTCGATTTTTGGATTTTTGGCGCTGGTGATTTTATATTTTGTACATTTTTGATAATTGACCAATAGGTATAGGTATGATGATTATGTTTTCTACAGGATATTTTCGAAATTAGAGCGATACATACCAAATATGTAATGAATTTTTTTTTCGCTGTGAGCGCACGGAAGGGAATCCTCATCTAAGGAGGATAGGGAGGGGAGGTAGGTATTGGATTTTTGTTTATAACTTTTGGAGAACATAACTATATACTTGAAAACATACTGAAGAAGCTAACAAAGCTACTTTCGATGTTCAACATGAAACACATCTCATAATTTTAGGCTCATTTTAGGCTAATTTATTACCCCATTACCGAATTTTCTGCTCCTCTCTATCATAGAAAAATCTGTGGCTTTGCTAGCTTCGGCCGAACTCAGCAAAACCTGAAAAGGAATATTCTCAGATAGATTATGAACATACAAAAATGGATATATATTCATATAAAGCAATACATTAAGAATTCGCATTCTCTATGTGATGAGAATATCTACTGTTTTTCAGTTTATTCAATAGAAAACAACTATACTTTCCTGGCTATATGCCACGACGAACATTGAATTATATCTATTGAACACACACACATTTCCCTTCAGACAAAAATATGTATATGCACACATCATTCTGAATATTCAACAGAAAAAAACTTCTTTCTTGGCTATTTATCTCGTCGAACATTGAATTATATCTGATTAACATTCAAAAGGAGAACATGAAAAATAAAGAATAAAATCCTCCGAAATTGAGAATTGACATTCTTCTTCAAATCGGATGAATAATATGATTTATAATGATATAGAAATATAACTTACCAATATATTCAGCATTGAAATGAAAATTGGAATGTATAGGAGAAGTATACTGGCATAAACTCTGATCTTGATGAGCTTGAAAACTTCCAAAAATAATCATTCACATCAGTGATATGGGGAACATTATCTCTCACACACAGGTCATATGACTTTATTGCAATGAAACCATTTCGGATTTCTGAATCCTCATCAGTAACCATGATGTCCACTTATTCCTACAGCTATTCTTCATGATATACACAATTTTCATCTCTCTATAATACAACTAAAACCGAGTAAAACTATAACGAAATGACATCGGAGAAATTTGTTGACATTCTATTCCTGTCATTCGGACGTTTTTGCTTTTGTGTATGATAAATTGACATTCATCATACAGGGCGTGGAAAAAAATTCTGAATTGAGACTCTATCACGAATCTGCGATTAGAGGTCTATAAAAATCACAAAATTCCATCGTTCAAGCTGTGTGCGTTATACCCGCTTGGGAATAGTCTTATATTGTCAATGCAAATTTGTCTGCTTCGATAGTGTCAATGTAAGATCATAAGATAGAGAGATTTAGTGTGCACAACGATAAGTCGATGTATCTTCATTTGCCCATAGTACTCGTTATATACCCTTCAATGTCGTCTTATACGGTCACTGCAATCTTATATGCTTCAACTGTATGCATGTCAGATGCTAGACTGCAGAGTTGAAGTGTTAACATAGTCGAAGTCGAAGTTTCTTGTTCTGCAATCTGTGTGCGTTATTCGTGCTTAGGAGTAGTCTTATATGGTCAATGTGAACTTGTCTGCTTCAATAGTGTCCATGTGGGATGATAGGATAGAGAGATATAGTGTGCACAACGATGAAGTCGATATATGCCCATTTGCCTGTTGTACTCGCAATATACCCTTCAAAGGCGTCTAATATGATCACTGCAATCGTATCTGCTCCAACTGTATGCATGACAGATGCTGGACTGCAGAGTTAAAGTGTGAACATAGTCAAAGTCGGAGTTTCTCGTTCTGCAAGCTGTGTGCAAGATAACTGCTTGGAAGTCGTCTTATATAGTCATTCCTAGGTATACAAAATATACTTCCGTGGATTTTTTGTAATATTTTTATCATTATATGATACACCCTTTTTGCAAATGACACACTGCATCTTCAACAGATTGTTGCATACTGCCCTACAACCTATAACTACGCTCTATAGTCGCGCCAACACGCTCTTGTCGCGAAAGGCATATTCATGCCATGCGTACCTACATCTTTGAAAAATCATATTTCGAAAACTATACTACATATTCAAATTTCTGTTATTTCAAAAACTTTCATGACTATTTGTCAACATTTTATTCGCTGCATATATACAAAAAAAATCAACAAGAAAAAAGTTTGTCGATTGTTGAAAAAAATATATCATGAAAAGTGATATCTGGCGTTCTCACCCAATTTACAAAAAACTGATGATGATTTATACTGTAATCATACCATCGTGAGAAGCAGAAAAGAACTCGTTTTCTATTAAAAAAAAATGATCTCCATACCTATTGTAGTTTTAGAGTTACGAGGAGATATATTTCAAAATCTGTGTTTTAGAAAATTCTTTATTTTTTCAGTTTTTTCTAAATAAAAAAGTTTGTCCCCACTCAAAAATGTCGTCCAATGATATTCTGATAGAAAACTATGTACTTCATTATATTTTGAAGGTCGGAACTGGTTATACCTTGAAAAATTTTTTTTCGAGAACGGAGCGACTTTTTCGGTGGATTTTACTCCACTACAAATCGATAGGGATTTTAAGTACCAAAGAATCAGAGTGCCAATTTTTCCCCGAAAATACGGATTCAACTCTTCAAATCTCTGAAGTGCATAAAAAACCTTATTTTTTGCAGGCCCCACTTCATCGGGCGAAGATAGCGACACAGAATCCGAACCCGGCATACCCCTGAAACGCAAGCAACGCCGTTCCAGAACCACCTTCACAGGCGAGCAACTAGAAGCCTTAGAGCGAGCCTTCAGTCGCACCCAGTACCCAGACGTCTACACCAGGGAAGAGCTAGCCCAAAAGACCAAGCTCACCGAAGCCAGAGTGCAAGTCTGGTTCTCCAACCGGCGAGCGCGTCTGCGCAAACAAGTGAACTCTCAGCAACTCAACGCCTTCAATGCCATGTCGCTGCAAACGGCCTTCCCCGCAGTGCAGCAGCATTATTCGGATGGAGCCTTCAATCAAGCCGCTTGGGCACAACAGAGCTATGCTTCTACTGCAGCTCTAGGGACTGCTAGCTCTGCGTCTCCGAGCACCGTTCCTAGTACCCCTAGTAGTGGCAACACTGCCGCAGCGTACAATTCGTATGGTGGGGGTAGCGGTTTGGAGCAAGGGGGGGTGAATCATTTCGGTTATAATGTGGTGCAGACTTCTCCGGGGCATCATAGTCCGACGACGCAGCAGAGTGCTATTTGGGCAAGGCATGCGCAGAATAACAAGATGGCGGAGAATTTGACGGTGCCTTGGCATGAGAACTATAACAGGTGAGCAGATTTTTTTCTCACTAGGGGATGGACGCGAAGCGGAGTTCGGGCAAGCAGTCGAGCTCGGGAAAGACACTTTCCGAATGAGTTAGGAACAATATTTTTTCTAGAAGCGTAGGAAATTGATTGATTTGTTCAATCGATTATTCCTGCGGATAGGACCAAATAACAATAGTCATATATTCTCTATCTTCTAATAATAAGGGAGATATCTTTTGTGTGTACCGTTTGAAGCATAATGTAGGTAAGCTTATTGTAGAAGCCAGCATGCCCATGGTATTTGGCCTCTAGGTTTCAGACATTTCTCTAGGTATCAGACATTTCTCTAGGTATCAGACATTTCTAGATCAAAAGTGACAGTAACGCTCTGGCTATCAAGGCTATAGGGGGATTTATATAACAATCAATTAATATTTTTCAACATTTCCTCATTATCCCAACAACACATAATCTCCAAAAGTTCAAAAAAAATTCCAATACCTACCTCCTGTCCTTATCCTCCCTAGGAACGCACGATGTTCTTTGAACATTATAGGGATTCCCTTTCGTGCGCTCCAAGCGATAAAAAAAATAGTGCAATTTGATGGATGATTTTGACAAGCCCAGTCAGCACACCCTTTCGTTTTCAACCTCGAAAGAAGTCGAACAACATTTTATCAAAACTCCTTCATCCATAGAACGACTAGGCTCTTGAATTCATTGCCTGAGGAAGTATTCCCAACAACATATAATCTCCAGAAGTTCAAGAAAAATTCCAATACCTACCTCCTGTCCCTATCCTTCCTAGGAACAAACGATGATCTTTGAACATTATAGGGATTTCCTTTCGTGCGCTCCATGCTAAAACTATTATTTTCATATTGTGTCATCCACCACTCATATTTTGAGAGAATATTATATAAGCCGATCTCACTGTGCCCAACATAAACTTGTCAGGAGTAACCATACCTTTGAAGACATCCATTTCGATGCTTGGTATTCCTATCAGCAATAACCTTTCTTGAGCAAATCACGTGAGATCAATTACTAGAAGTGTATTCCAAAAACTTGATTTTCTGTTTCGGGCCAGAAGCTATTTCACTTTCAGTCAGCTGCTTATGATCTATGAGGCACAGATCCGGCCTGTCCTGGAATACTAATCCAATATTTGGAGTGCAGCACCCCAACATACCCTGAAACTGTTGGATTCTGTCCAAAAAAGGGCAATTCGTCTCGTGGGTGATGCCTCGCTCACAAACTCACTCACTTCTCTGGAACACCGTAGAAAAGTTGGCGATCTGGCTATATTTCAAGACATCTCAATGGACGATGCTCTTTTGAAATATCAACAATTGTTCCTCCCTTAGCAGTCCCCGCGAGATTAACCCGTCGAGTTGAGGCTTCGCACCCAAGACTCGTTCATCCAACGAACAGCGAGGCTGTGGAACACATTGCCAAGGAAGGTGTTCCCCGAGGCATATAACCTCCAGAAATTTTAAAAGAACACCAATTCCTACCTCATTCCCCTTGGTTCTCAGGATGTTCTCTGAACATTACAGGATATTCCTTTTCGTGGAAACCAGAACATAAAAAAAATGTTTCGCTCGCACTAGTGTAGGAAAAAATTTCCCGCACTACTACGGGAAAATGACACTCCCCAATCTAAATTTCATGCGGATATAGGGTGAATCACGCACGCTTGTAATAGAAAATAATTTACTTTATCACTAGCAAATTGCGAATAGATTTCATCAACTACATATTTTGGAAACATCCTTTTCGACTACTGGATTATTTTCCTACTGGTGTACGTTGTCGCAGAAATACATCTCGTAAGCAAATACTGGGTGATGCTCGGTAGGCGGTCATTAAATAATTAATTACGTGAAATTATGAAACAAACGCGGACCCACAATAAAGCTAAATAATACGTTCGAGGGGCCTTCATTACCTTCGCCCGACAAAATTAATTGCCGCTAGATATTATTCAGATGCCTCTCGAAAGTGCCAATTACTCAGCCGCCAAAGTCCGTTTCCGACGGTACCACCACGAGGTACCACCTCAATCTTCTCCTGGCCAGCTAGATAGAAAGCTTGTCATTGAAATAAATTCTAGCTGGCACTACCACGGTACGCAATCATTGAATACTTATACTGAAATCGTGCTAAAGAAAATTACATGGTGTTATTTAATGTACGATGGTACCATTGGTACCGCTCTTTTATTTATGTTTTAAAAGCTCGCGCTACCGAAATGAATTATTGTTTTGATTAATTGTTCTTCGTGGCATGTTTTTTTAATGATCAGCGTTATTGATCAGGTATCTGAACGAACTCACAAGGCGTATAGAAAGAACAACAGGTTTCGTTTAGTTTGTTCACCATCATGCACTTATAAAAATGTGACAGTTTTCTGCGTGTGTTACATACAACTCTTTTTCGCCTACCAAAAACAAAAGATATGGATAATACCACTGTTATATTATGGTCATAATTCAATAAACACGAGCACAAATGACGTGGACAAGGGTTACACTCGCTCACAACTCGGCTGCCAGCCGAATACCAGTCTTCACACATGTCTGTCATAGGCTCTGATCTAAGCACATTCCACTGAGCAGTAGCGCATCTAGTTGCTAGATGCTAACAACCACAAAAATCGTAAATTTCATATTTTTTCTCTTGATCCCAAAACTTTGATTCACATTGACGTTTAATGAATTCTCAAGAGGAGCAGTACTTCCTAAGATGGAAGATCAAATTGAATCCTGCAAAAACACAATTGGTTGCACTCGGAACGGAGCGGAGGCCTCCCAGAACCAGAATAGTCCTGGATGGTCATGAGTTAGAGTGGTCTTCACAAGTTAAAAACTCAGGTGTGTGCCTTGACAAAGAGCAAATTGGGTTTGAGACAAAAATTGAATATTCACATCTTGGCTGTCAGGCCAATTTTACTGTATGCCTCGGTAGTCTGGGGCCACACATCTAAATCTCATATCACCAGATTACAAACATTACAAAACAAAATCGCGAGAATGGTGACAGGATCACCTTGGTATGTTCGGAATAACCAGATCGCCAGGGATCTGAAACTCCCTTCAATCGTGTCAGTCATTAGATAATGAAACATCAAGACTTTCGAAAAAGCTGAGGTTCATGAGAATCAGCTTCTTCGAAATGCAGATGATTGTGACCCAGGTGATCAATCGAAGTTCAAAGTTCAAAGTACCATTGGTACCGCTCTTTTATTTATGTTTTGAAGGCTCGTGCTACCGAAATGAAGCATCGTTTCGATTAATTGTTCTTCGTGGCATGTTTTTTTTAGGAGCACTGTTCCACTGTTATTGATCAGAACGTAACCGAACGAAGTCACAAGGCGTACAGAAGGGACAACAGATTTAGTTTTTCTACAAACGTTGAAAAATCAGAAGGTTAGCGCATTGATAACAATATGCGAAGTGACCCTTTTTTAATTTTCCCTCGAATTTTCCTATACATCACCATGTTCGACACCAAGAGCGAATTGAAACTTCTCCTACTCATCAAGGACCGATGTTTTGAAAATGTTGGCATGAAGATGTTTTCTAGACGTAATGTGCATTCCTTAAGAGGCGCTTAAAGGATATTGAAAGTATTGTTTTGGTTCTTCTCTAGCATTTCTTTGTTTGCCTACTGAGGAAGTTTATCCTTGGGATGTTTTGCTTGTTTTAAAAATGTTGGCATGAGGATGTTTTTCTGAGACGTAATATGCACTCCCCAAAGATGTCTTCGAACGATATTGGGAGTATTGTTTTTGTTCTCCTGTGTCATTTCTTTGTTTGCCCCAACACAACGTCTCATGCTTACGTTACTATACGATGAGTTCTGATTTTTTCCGATTTTGTTGATCGTTTTTGCATTCGCGTTTGCAGCGTCTTTTTATTTCCATTATTACATTGACAACGACCTCCTATTCTTCTCAGAACAGAGCAACGTCATATTTGGATTGGAAATGACAAGGCGTGATTTCCATAATCCTTTGTAATATTCCAAACAACACAAAATATTTTACGAAAATTCTGACCACGTTCGGAGCATTCGTACTCAGTGTGAATTTATACAGCATCAATTAACAATTATCAAGTAACAATAATCAATTTACAATTATCAATTATGAAATAATAGCTGTACTATATATGACAATTTACCGCTCATTAGGTAGTCAGGCAAGAATGGAGAAATGTACCAGAGCAGATAATTGCGAGTAAACAATCCAGTTTTTTGACAATTCATTAGGACATTCCCAAATTTTACCTTTGAATCTTTGGACTTATTTTTAGTTTTCGATGATTTTTCCATCCAAATATGATTTTTATTTCTAGTTTTTCAACTTTATTGCTCATTATATATAGAAAGTAAGGAGGTTTTAAACTTCGAAATGCGTTTTTCTCGAAACGTACTTTTTGTGACATTCCCCCTTTTCTTCCTGTGGTCTTCACATTAGAACCTATTTCGAACGAACGTAAATTCTATAATTCATTCAGAATGCAATAACTAATATTTTATATAATAATATTACTCGATACCGTTGAAGAATCTAAGCATGGAGTCTGACCGCAATTTATAGGAAAGTAAATCATATTTCTTCCTTATTTCTGACACCTAACTAGGTAACTTGATGAATTACGATTAATACTTTGCTCTTCTAACAATGACGTTATTTTCACAGTACCCAGGATATATTTTAAGACATGAGATAAATCACTTTTCCCCGTTATCGAAGGTGCATTTAATTCGCATTTTATCTCCTCTGCGTGTTCCTTGGCGAGATTGAAAGAATGGCCTTCCTAGAATACGGCCAATAAGTCGCTGTGGAATAGCCTTTTAGCGACCTCGGGCAAAATAAATAATATGTAGGCTCGTATGGGTCGGCGCGAAACATCATTTCGTTTGTTGTGCCAAGTTGTTATTGTCTACTCTTAACGAACTGAAAGTACTTTGTTCAGGTATTCGAAAAACCAGAGTGATTCGATCGTCCAAAATGAAACGCGATGAGGACATGTCGTGATAATGGGCTTATATCACAAAAAATTTGTATTTCATAATTCGATAGAACTCACCGAAACTAGCTCACCACCGCAAACAGTTTCTTGCTGTGAGCTCCCTACGTTTTATAAACAATTATTGAAATCCCCGATTTTTCGTACCTCTGAAAACAAGGCGATGATGTGACGTCAAAACCCTGATACTGAAACAAGACTATTCCAGACAGAGATGAATGATACATGATTTCTGATAGAGTGAATTAGCGCGAGATCACAGTTGAAAGAATCAATATATCAGTTGCCTCAGTCTCCGTCGGGCGTTTGGTATTTCCTTTTCACTATGGCGAGATGAGGTTTCTACGTCATAAGAGGGTCCGTTTTCAGAAGGTACTATTATTTATGTCCAAAAATAAAACATTCCAGTTAATTTTTCGATCGTACTATGTCGTCAACCATTATTCATGTATGAAAGGATCATTATAAACATGGTTTGAGTTAAAAGTTCTACTAAGGTGTACACGCCCATTTTCTAAAGTACTTGAAAGCAGTACTGGGCAAATACTCTAAGAAAAGTATTGAAATATTGTAAATGATATACTTTCGGATATTGAAAATATTTGAATATTGAATATTTTCAATGGCCAAGAAGTATTTGAATAACAAATATAAAAGTATTTGAATAATTCACAGTGAGTATTCAAATACTTCCAGAGTATTTGAGTATTTCCATAGTATTTAAATACTTTCAAAATTTTTTCTAAATACTTAAACGCTTCCAAAGTTAAATACATCCAAAGTATTCGAATATTCTCAAGGATTTGAATATATTCATGTTACTCGGGTATTTTTGACGTCTTCAATCACCTTGTGTAATGAAGATTTGAGTAATTAAGGCAGTTTCCATAACAAAAGTATGAAAAAATAAATATTATTTTGTACTGCACTGGGAAAGCGTCTATTTTTCGAAACCCGACATCAATAGAAAAGGATGATGTCTGATTAATGACTCACTCACTTACCTATGTATATTATTAAACAGAATTATCATCATATAAGGCAGCAATCTGTTGAAGAATATGGTGAAACCTTAGCCGTGGCACTTGATATCTCCCAGGCATTCGATCGAGTCTGGCACCACGGACTCCTCGCCAAGCTTCCATCTTATATATGGCTTGCCTCCCTAGCTATTTTCCCTGCTAGCTAGTTTTCTCTCAAATAGGTCTCTGCATATGTAGTGGTCGACGGAGTTTCATCTGACTCTCTTATCATAAATGCTGGTGTTCCGCAAGGATCAATTCTACAACCAACACTATTTCTACTCCATATCAACGATTTTTTGGAAGCAACTTCATGTCCAATACACAGTTCGCGGACGATAGTACCCTCCATACCGCCTTCTCTTCCAGGGCTCCAATACCAGCCAGGCAAATCAGGAACGAACGAGGGAGAAATGTTGACAACATAAATATGGACTTGGCAACAATTCTAGAATGAGGATCCAATAACTTGATAGATTTCAATGCAAACAAAACACAGGCATGCCTTTTCTCTAGGAAAGCCGATCTCAGTGTGCCCAACATAAGCCTGTCAGGAGTAACCATACCTTTGAAGACATCCATTTCGATGCTTGGTATTACTATCAATAACCATCCTTGGGAAAATCGTGAGATCAATTATTACTAATAGTGCTTCCCAAAAACTTGGTTTTCTGTTTCGGGCCAGGAGCTATTTCACTGCCTGTCAGCTGCTCATGATCCATAGGGCACAGATCCGACCGGTCCTTTAATACTGTTCCCATATTTGGAGTGCACCACCCAAACATACCCTGAAACTGTTGGATTCTGTCCAAAAAAGGGCAATTCGTCTCGTGGGTGATTCGTCGCTCACGAACTCACTCACTTCTCTGGAACACCGTAGACAAGTTGGCGATCTGGCCCTAATTTATAGATATTTTCATGGACGATGCTCTTCTGAAATATCAACAATTGTTCCTCCATTGGCAGTCCCCGCGATATTAACCCGTCGAGCTGAGGCTTCGCACCCCTTCGTGGTCACTTTGGAGACCTGCAGAACATCTCTTTCCAAAGACTCGTTTATCCAACGAACAGCGAGGCTCTGGAACACATTGCCAAGGGAGGTGTTCCTCGAGGCATATAACCTCCAGAAATTTGAGAAGAACACCAATTCCTACCTTGTTTCCTTTGGTTCTCACGATGTTCTCTGAACATTACAGGATATTCTTTTTCGTGGGAACCAGGACATGAAAAAAAAATGTTTTACTCGATTTCTTTGGGTTTTCTATCCTCGTCTCTGAAATTGTATGAATTAACATTGTCAGATTGGTGAAATAAATTCACCATTCACTATATTGGATATTGGATCTGGAAGTCTCTGATATCAGCTCAGATTCTGAGAAGCTTAAATCCACAGGATGTTCCATTTGAGAAGATGATATCATAGCCGTGATGGCCGTAAGTCAGAATCTAAAAATTTATTTATTCTCGGAGTATTTAAATATTCCTATATAAGGTTATGATCATTCCTGAACAACAGTCATATATATGATCGAATATCCTAGGAATCTTCCTATGATACTTGATTGGAATATTCTATGAATATTCTTGTAGAATATTTCATGGAAATTCAGAACATCTCCATCATATTCTATGAAGATTTTTGAAATGTTCTGAAAGAAGGTATATGTTGTGAACGTTGTGGGAACAATTATATAATATTCAATGCTGTCTTCAAAAGTAATATGATTATGAGAGCATTTACAACAACAAATACCAATCTGCAAAATAATTGAATGATAACAATGATAATAATGATTTCATCAATCTTTGGACACATTGTTTCACTGATTTTCATTTTCCATTGATAATCAAGGACACAGTCCACTTAATAACGAAATTATATTGTGACATTTCATCAATAAAATAAATTACTTCCTATAAACTTTGAACTCATAACTGCTCTTGATGTGTCTTCCAATTTCATTGGTTAATATACCTATGATAGCTCTTTCAGACAGGTAATAGCTAGGTGTTTTGAATTAGTTGGAAGAGCGATCATTCATACATGTTTTCCACAGTGTTGAAAGACACCTCAAACCTAATATGTCAAATGGAACACCTGTATTTCATTAATTTCTGGATTCAGTTGATCGTTTTATAAAAAGTTGTTTTCTGATTTCAAATGGTGTGTTGATAACCAGATTAAGCTTGAGAGGAATTTTCTTTTTGGTGTATTAAACCATTTTGTGCAGGGTTCACTTCATTTCCTTATATTTTTGTACAATGATAGATCGATCAATTTCATTGATTGACATCTTGCCGATTCCTAGATACAGAAGGTTGACGTTTTGTGCACGAGAAATAATACCTAGTAAATTATTTCAACACTTCTTATTGTTTTTTTTTTACATAAACTTAGTCGTCTGATCTCTCGAATTTTTTCTCCTACTTTCATTTTGAATATAACAAATCTTTGCATCTTCCAATCTCTCAACTATTTTTTCTCGATAGATATTGGTACTTAACCAAAAAGTTGAACAGTGTGACAAAGATAAGGTTGCGCAGCATGAGGGTCTCGCGAGGGATCTCGGAAACGGTAAGAAATACGAATTCCGTTAAATGAGAACAAAATTGCGCATTCCAAGGATCATACCAATGGATTTCGAAAATATTCAAAATTGTTTATAATTTTCCATGGTTGAACTCCGAATAAAAAAAGCTTTCGAAATCTGTGAACACATAATCAGGGCCGTATTTGAAAAAAAAGTTGATGATTTCTCTACGAATACGACACGTCGCGTGGAGAAATCAATATCATCACGTTAAATCTCATCAAAAGATGCCATGTAAAAGTATTTTCAGAGTTTTCTGTATCTCTTATAATAACGTAGAAAAACAAATAGATATTCCAAAAATTTACTTTTTTCATATAACTGAAAAACTAAAAACAATTTTGAAAATTTTCCAAAGCCGTTGGTATGATCATCAAAATGCGCAACTTGTTTCTCATTTAACCGAATCCGTTATTCCTCCTGTTCCCGAGATCTCCATATCACGTTATCTTGGTTTCACTGTATTTTCAACTGTTTCATCTGAAACAAAAATGAATAGTTCGGAAACTCGACTCGAGGTCCGAATGATATCTCAAGAAGACTTCAATAAGCTGCTAAAATAATTATCATTCAAATCGGCAAAAGAATTTTGTTCATAACATTGAGATTAAAAACCAGATTTTTCAATGTAAACAGGAACTTTTTTGGGAAACCTGTAAATGGTATATACTTATTTTTGATTTCAATAGGAGGAAACCTGTATAGGCTTCTGTCACTTGAATTCACCAGTAGTGTTAATGATACTTATCTGAGTACTTATCACTAATCCCTACATGTTTTACCATTACCCAAGTTTCGTCCCCGGGTTTAAATTCAACCTACCTATCGATTGACTATTTTTGCATTTCACAAATGGAACTCATTCGTAATCTACCTATTTTTACGCAAAAATTTGAAAACTCCTTGGGATGTATGAAAAATCTTTAGGAAATCCCGGAATTCCTTGGGAAGTCCTGGTAGTCTCTGGGAATTCCTCAGGTAGTCACAGGAATTTCAGGTAGTCTTTGGGAATTCCTAGGAATTCCTTGGGTAGTCTCAGGAATTCCGGGTAGTCTTTAGGAAGTCCCAGGAATTCCGGGTATTCTTTGGGAATTCCTAGGAAATCCTTGGGTAGTCCCAGGAATTCCGGGAATTCTTTCAATGAAGGAAGTCTAGTGTACCCAATTTCAGCCCGTGATTTACTCCTCGAATTATATGGAATATTTTTTTTCATATTGTTAACTGGATGGAAGATATTGAGGGTGGAAAAATTTCAAAATGTCACCCTGTTGAATAGGATATTCTTTCACTAACTTCATTTCTTTTGTTGCAGCCTATTTGCTCCAGGCTCCCACTATGGTGCCCATTCACCGAGTGAGGCTAAATCAGGCTATCCGTACTTTGGTGCAATGGAGATGTGTTCGAGCAGGGTCCACTGAAATCTGAAACTGATTGTTTCGGAAAAATCGCTTTAATTTCTGTAAATAACTGACACACTAATTATAGTCTATTTATATCGAGCAATACTTCGAAAATTGATTGTTGAATTATGTTGTGTACATATACATTGTATTTTGCAGTAGATTGATGTAAACAGAGAGAGCTTTATGTGATTTTTATTTTGAACTCAGTGTACTAGTAGTGTGTGATGGGAGATATTTATTATTTGCTGATTTTGCTGAATGATAATACAGGGTGGCCCACGGTCGATGGTACCTTAGACGTATACGGAAAACGGTACATTAGATTATCCTGAAAATTTGGTAACTCTAATGAGCGTTCGTGATCTAACGATTCAAAATATTTTCAGCGATGCAGCGTTGCCACTTTTACCAAAAAGTAGCATCATCTTTGTTATTTCAAATGGAACACCCTGTATTTCATTGCGTTTTTAGATTCTTCTCGAAGAGCCGATTGTATCAATGCATCACACTTGGGGTCTAGCAGGAATTATTACAGAGATATAGGGTGTTCAAAATCGAGATTTTTCAATTTCAGGAATTTTTTGTGTCGAAACTATTCATTATCGATCAAAACGGCTAACGTGTTCCTATCTTAACTTCTGATTCACTATCTACTGACAATTAATTGGAACAGATACAGGGTGCTCAAAATTCTGAATCTTGGACCATCCTGTATTTTTTCTAATTAAATGTCGGTAGATAGTTAATCAAGAGTTAATATAGGGACATGTAAGCCGTTTCGACCAATGATGAATAGTTTTCGACACAAAAAATCCTAAAGTTGAAAAATCTCGATTTTGAACACTCTATATCTCTGTAATAATTCCTGCTAGACCCCAAGTGTGATACATTGATGGAATCAGCTCTTCGAGAAGAATCTAAAAACGCAATGAAATACAGGGTGTTCTATTTGAAATAACAAAGATGATGCTACTTTTTGGTAAAAGTGGCAACGCTGCTTCGCTGAAAATATTTTGAATCGTTAGATCACAAACGCTTATTAGAGTAACCAAATTTTCAGGATAATCCAATGTACCGTTTTCCGTATACGTCTAAGGTACCATCGACCGTGGGCCACCTTGTATACTTCTCTTCCTTCTTCACACTATTAATTGATTCCTCTTGTATATGAATATGTAAATAGAACGAATCGTATTTAGGAACAAACGGTCACAAATGGAGTAACCTGATAGGTATGATTGGTCTTTTAACTTATATGAATACAAGTCTACTGTTAAATAATGAGTGCATTATAAGATATATAGAGGTTATATATGGAAAAATTTTCCGGGTGTCCCAATTCCGGCTCAAATGAGAAAGACTGTTGCACAAAAATTATAGTCATTGAAATCACACCTCGATGAATCACCCCACTGCACATGCCACCAACTGTTTTTTTTTAAATTACACCCCCATGTTGTTATGGCATGTTTGAGTATATCATATTAAGAATCATTATAAATCTGAAAGACAGAGTCAGACGACTGATATAAAATAATTGAAACAATCCGATAAACCACCCCTTTGCACAAACCTCTCTCTTTTTTTTTTCAAATCACATCTTCTTATTTTTGTGGTATGTTTGAATAGCTCGTGAGCGATATTGTTAGGCTCTGTACAGGACGGACCAAATTAGAGACTTTTAAAGGGAAAGTCTTATTCCCGTTCTATAGATAGAACAAAACTGATGTTGGTGCCTGTTGATCAATTCACTTGACAAACTGAATGGTGAAAACTGCATATCGATATCTATCTTCGTTCCAGAGTTACAAGGTGATTTTCGAAAACATGAATTTTCGTAAAGTGGCTGAAAGTCAGTTTTTCGTCGAAAATTCTTCGTTCCCATAAAAACATTTTCGAAGCATTGTGTTTGTCGCGAACATTGATCCTCAGGCACTGAAATCAGTCACCATATACCTAGTTTCAAAATAGAACTCTTCCTTCAAGAAGAACAAGTTATATTCTTGAACAAGATATAGGAAGGCCGATTTCGGTGCCTTAGAGACATACAATTTTTGCCAAAAAAAATGTTGTTGCCACTTTTCAAAAATGCCCATTTCCGAAGAACACCTTGTAACTCCGAGACGAAGACAGATATCGATTTGCAACATCAGTTTTCTTCTATCTAGTTGGAGAAAAGTGACCAATTTGACCCACCCTGTACATGTTGGAAATGATCCTACTGAACAAAATCTAGAGGGCATGAATCTGGAGATCGTGCTGGCCGTCGAATAGGGCCAACATTTCCAATCCAGTTTCTTCCAAACTGGTTATTCAAATGTCTAGTACAGGGTGAACAACCAAGAATGGCTGTCGGCCATATCTCAGCAACGAATAATGATACAAGTTTGAGATAGAATAAATCTCATGCTATGCATATCATTACACGGATGTTGATTTATTGACATTATCTAGGTCGGTTTCATAAGCTAATAGGCTACTCAAAGATGCCCTAATAATATGGGGATGATATTTGGAAGAAAACTTAGTGGTAGGTATATGCTAAGGGGTGGTTTATCGTGGGGGGGTAGTTTTGATGACTAATTCTTGTGCAACACTCTTCCTCAATTGAACCAGTTTTTTAAGAACGTTGATAATGTCACCGGCTTACGAAGAAATGTGTGTAAAATAGAGTTGAGACACCCGGATTATCACATGTCATATATAGATAAGAATTATCATATTTCAATTCTATACTTGGACTTGCAATCTTATGATACCTTGATTTTTGTGTTCTTGGATGACCTTCCTTCATTATTCAATTCAGCAATAAACCTTATTTGTGAATATTTAATTCTGAAATGAATCAATAAATATATTTGAAATATTTCATTACAGAATATTATTTCAGGCTTTCCTTGCGTGTCTTCCTAAAGGGCCTTCACAAAAACAAAAAAGCGAATATTCCTCAGTCCAAAAAATTAGATACCAGCAAATTGTGGAAAGGTTGAAATTTCTGATAGCAGAAAAATATGCAGGGCATACGGGTCATGAAAATGAAATCATGTCTGTGATAAGTGAGCTCAAAGGTAAGATACCTATTGAGAAATTCAATAGACATAGGTTGCAACACCAAAAAGTTGATCAATCTCATCTCAGCTACTCTGTGCACCGATACCCTATTAATCTGTCCGTTTTATACAGTGAGTGTGTCATCACAATCAATGGAATAATAACCGAGAAGACGAAAAAGAACCCATTGCCCTATACGTATATGGATTCCAAATAATTCAAACGAATATATCTTCCCCTTGAAAGAAGGTATAATAATTGGTGTCGATTACTATCCGGGACTAATATCAGTCGTAGTGGATAGTACGAACACAATAGACTGATTTGATTGGTCAATTACTTTCCAAAGGAACGATTTTGAGATTGTTTAACAAATCCAAATCATCTAAAGATGATATATACGTTAAATTATTTAATCATTCTCCAATCGTCAAGTTTGCCTGATGATATCAAAAAAGAAGTGGTAAATGAACTCCATAAACCAGCAAAAAGACGGTTGCATGATTCATGGGAAGCTGATCTGGTTGAAATGATTCCTTATGCAAAATTCAATAAAGGCTTCAAATTCATTCTGCTTGTTATAAATACGTTTTCGAAATTTGTGTGGTGTGAACCGGTAAAAAGTAAATCAACCAAAGTTACTGATCGTTTTTGTTTCATAACTTTGAATCGGCTCATGAGATTTCATTCAAATTTAGTACGTAGTAGTAGCATAAAGCCCCTCATTGGGCAATAAAACCCAAAATAATGTAGAATAAGCACCTGATTGAATATTTACTAAAACAATTGAATTTCCAAATTATTCAGTGATTTATTCATTGAATTGTTCAAATTGATGTCCATTTTCCATCACAAACTTTCTTAATACATATTAATCATTGAAAGATGTCTTTGTAATTCCTGGAAAACTGCCTCTGTTGTTGCACAAAGTTCTTCAAGTATGTTGGGCCACTCACTGTATTAAGAAGAATTAAGAAAGATTATCAACTGTATGTTAGGGAAAATGGATATGAATTTGAACATCTCAATGAATAAGTTAAATAATAATTCCGGAATTCAATTGTTCTAGTTAATATTTGATCAGGTGCTTATTCTACATTATAAACCTTTTATTACTATTTATTTGTCGATATCAGGTACCCAAGTTCAGTGTTTTGTTAATCGATAAGTGTTGATATTGGTTTTGACCTCTCCATGGAAAAATTTGAAGAAATATTTCTCCAATTGGAACGTTTTTGTAAGAAAAATCCATAACCAACTATCAAAATTCAATATTTTAGTGATTTTGAGCAATTTTGAAGATTTTATATTCATTCGTTATATATCATTTTGAAGACAAAAAAATAAGGAATTGAATGAGCTTATGAAATACAGGGTGTTCTATTAAAAAAATCTTGAGTTTGAGTCGTATCTCCAAAACCATACCCCGAAAAAAAAAATTAAGTGCGCCACTGGATTATGCGTGAAATTCTCTATGCGATAACATTTTGATTCAACATTTTTGTTGAGAAACTTCGAGGATATGGATGGGGTCCAAATAGTATAAATTTTCAAAATCGCCCTGTATCTCATAAACGGAAACAGTCTTGCGAAATCTGATTAGGCCATCTTGAGTTTCAGTTTTATCTCCAAAGATAACTGAGATATCAGGCAAAAGCATCGAAAACTGGACACACTGTACAGCAGATTTTCGAGAAACTAACTTCCGATCCTTGGAGTCTACATTTTGAAGAAGAACAGGAAAAAATTCGTATCTCAAGAACTATTAACTTTTGCATAATGCATATTAGGTTTAAATTCACTCTTTACCACCTCCTCTATATCACATCTTCAGAAGAATGTATCGAATTACCAGCTACCCTGTATATATTCTGGTTTTCGTGCGCTGCAAGAGATTGAAAAATATTTCTGAAACAATTTACGACTCATTCATTCGGGCAATACGACACGACAAATGCTAATCAACAAGAATGAGATCAAGGAAATCAGATTTTTCACTGTGTTTGTGTCTAATGATTATAAAAAAGTAATTAAATTCTTGCTAAACTTCGAGAGGCATGAATCATGGATCTCACAATCATCTTTTGAGGTGAAAGCCCGAAAAACATACATCTCAGCTGTCATCGAGCCATGCCGGAAGAATGTAGTTTCAGGGAGTTGACAAACTGTGACAAAAGATCGAGGGACCTGTGTGAAGTGAGTATGAAAAGATACCTTTTTCAACGCCGTGGGAGGCCCAACATTGGAATTAGATGCGGATGTTCTGTAGCAGGTACGATTATCTATAGTACATAGTTTCCGAAAATAATAGTTTTTCCACTTCACAATAGCCTTAGAACGTATACCATTGCGTGTACACCTTCTCTAGTTGTGAAATGTTGTTTCACTACCAAGGTTTTTTTTTTATTTCATGAAGTATATTTACTAGTTCGTAAACATCTTTCAATAATACAAAAATTTGTTGACCACCATGTATATACATACAATTCGGAGGCGTGAGAATAAATCAGACATATTATAGGTACATTTTTTTATTAAATGGCTCCAATACTATACATTTCTCTTAAAAATTGATGAATACGAGGTGTAAATCACGGAAAAAAAATTGAACTTCAAACTCTCCATGGGTCAAAACTTCCCAAACTTCCTCGAACTTCTTCAAATTTCTTCGAACTTCCCCAAACTTCCCCGAACTTCCCCGAACTTCCTCGAACTTCCCCGAACTTACTCAAACTTCTCCGAACTTCATAAACTTCCTCGAACTTCCCAAACTTCCTCGAACTTCTCAAACTTCATCGAACTTCCTAAACTTCTCGAAACGTTTCAGACTTCACAAACCAAGTCTAAGCAATTCAATATTCATCGATTCAAAATGTTTTCTTTTCCCTATGGTAGGTAGGTATCTCGGTAGGTATATACAGGGTAGTCCGGTTTATAGTACAAAAAATGCAACAGTGTGTTGTACTCGTTGAGATCATTAAATACTTTTGAACCCATAGTTTTCGAGATATAGGGTGCTGAAAATACGAGTCTGAACGAGTCTGAATATTGTGTTTTGATGAAAAGTTCGAAATGGTCTGAGATAAATCAACAAAATTTCTGATAGATACTGAACTTTTTACGCTCTATAAGATGGAATGAAAATTATTTCATCAAGTTGAACCCCAAAATTCAGCCGCCACTGAATTACATTATGAAATAATCTTAATTTCATCTTATAGAGCGTGAAAAGTTCAGTATCTTTGGGATATTTTGTTGATTTATCTCAAACCGTTTCGAACTCTTCATCAAAAAACAGACTCGTATTTTCAACACCCAATAAGTATTATTGACCAGGCTTCATCTGATTATTCAGAAGGCTTCATCCCAATAAGGGTACCTGTCGTGTTTCCATAGAGACATAAAGGTGAATATCTGTCTATCTGTTTGCTTGAGAATCTGGTGAAGAAATCAATATATCGCCTTCCGAACGAACATGGTGATCTGAATTTCGAGAAGTATACTCTGGTCATTTTTCTTTGTGGATCGTTTCTTAGGTTCGGTTTGACTGGATGGTTTTCTCGGATTTTGTGTCAAGTATCAAACACTGTGCTTCTTGGATCTGCAACTTAACATCACCTATAAACTATCGAATCATATGAATCAGAAATGATTATTATTGGATGCGGATCATGGATGTTCAATTAGAAACTTACCTGGATAGTTTTTGCAGCGTTCGTAGTTGGATTGCAACAAATAAGTTTTGTTTCCGAATAGAAGTTTTC